AAAAAAAAAAAAAAAAATTTTCTGAAATTAGAGTGTTGATAGTTGCACAATTTTGAATATACTTAAAAACCACTTAATAGTGCACGTTATTTATTTAAATAATTTTTTCTTTTTACTTTTTGTAAAGATGGAGTCTTGCTATGTTTCCCAGGCTGGTCTCAAATTCCTGTGCTCAAGCCATCCTCCACTCTCAGCTTCCCAAAGTGCTAGGATTACAGGCGTGAGTCACTGCACCTAGTCAATTGTATACTTTAAAAGGGTAAATTTTGGCCAGGCACTTGTAATCCCAGCACTTTGGGAGGCAAAGGTGGGTAGATTGCTTGAACCCAGGAGTTCAAGACCAGCCTGGGCAAAATGGTGAAACCCCATCTCCACAAAAAATACCAAAAACTTAGCTGGGCATGGGACTACATCACCTGTAGTCCCAGGTCCTCAGGAGGCTGAGGTGAGAGGACCACCTGAGCCTAGGAGGTTGAGGCTACAGGAGTCATAATTACACCACTGCACTCCAGCCTGAGTGACAGAGTGAGACTATCTCCGAAAAAAAAAAAAAAGGTGAATTGTAGTGTATATGAATTATATCTCAATAAAGCTGGTTTTTTCATTGCTTTTAGAGCTATTTTTTAAGCCACACAAGAAAAACCAGTCTTACTATTCAATGCACTATTTATTCACCACATTTGGCTCCAAATGACAGACCCACATCTATCTACCATCTCCCATAAAAACTAACCCCTCAAAGAAAAAATATTTTTCTAACACTGAAAATATTTTAAGTGTCATTAATTCTGACAGTAATTCCCAGAAGGTTCCAAAAATGTTCTGGGAAACATACACTACACATACTAATAATTTAAATACCTCAGTTCAGAATTGCTTAAGACAACCCCATAGCTTTAAATTTATACCCAAAATACAGTCAAGTTTTGACTTGCAATATATTATGAGCATAAATAGCAAATGTTCCCTGCTCAAAGAACATAAAGAATATCATCTATGTATCCTAATTCATTATGTCTCACCTAAGTAAATTACTGGGTTAGAAAGCACCAAAACCTAACATTTTACCCCCAACCCAACAAAAAATGAAAAACAAAAAGCCAAAGTCTTGCTTATAGTGGAAGTATCATGGGCAGTGTCATCTCTGAACATAAATGGTCAATTACTTGAATATGACTTACAGGTTTTTTGGTTTCTATCACAAGAAGAGATGGTGGTCTTTCATTGGAAGACTGATTTGGAGGATTTTTTTGATCTGCAAATCTTGAAGACGGCTTATAGATTTTACCTCTTTTTTCATCTGTTTCATGTTCTTCTGAAATTTAAAATACTAAGTCTCAAAATTAATTTCGCATCATTTTTTACTTTTTTATTTGAAAACAAGTAAAAATTAGTAAAATGCTTTTAGGATTAAGAGGTATCACTATTGACAAACATGAAATTAAATTCAAATATTATCACCTCAATACTACTAATTTAATCATTTTGTTACATAACGATGACACATATTACAAATTCTGACTAGTGCTCTGCTGTCTTAAAGCTTGAAAGAAACTAAACATGTTTATAAGCTATCTGGCTTCAATATCTCATTAGCGACACTTGGCCATTTATCTTGCTAATTAATATAACCACTAGAGGGTGCTGATAGAAAATGTAAAATTCAAAAGTAACCATATTTCTTTGCACAATTATCTACCTGCAGTTATTCAATGGGGTTTGCAAAAACTGTAACAGTTATACTTCATTAGCAGTTATATTTTATAAACTTACCTTTAGCTGCATTAACGACACCCCCTCGCACAAATGTTTTCACCTTATTACCATCGCTTCCTTCAAAAGCAGCAAGAAATTCCTCATAAATCTCAGCAGCTGCCTTTTCATCCTCCTACATACACATGAAAATATTAATATCACAATACAAAAATCGTTAATGTACATAGGGTTAAATTCATCAAGGAATAATATGAATGAAAGCCCTCCCTTCCCAGGTCAAGCAGTCCTAACATGTAATAACATCTAATCTTTAGCAGATACTAAATATTAATGAAATTAAAAGAGGCTTTGCTCCTCTACTGCCAATTTGTTTGTTTTTGCTTTTGTTTTTGTTTTTTTTAAAGGACCCACTGCGTAGCCTTTGTATGATCTACTGGCAATTTGTAGAACCAGAAAAGAACCCGTAAGTATAGACTAATTAGGAAATGTGTCTAGAGACAACTCAAGCATCAAATTGTATGACAACTGACTATATGAGAACATATTATGCTAGTAATGTTTACCAAGTTTCCAAGGCATGATGATTTAATTCAGTGAATATAAATATTTTTCAAATCACCAAAAACATGAGTATTAGAAGTTGAAGCAGCAATATCTACTGACAAGTGGCATTAAAGAAAAGAAAGCTCAGAAGAATCTTGATATTTTCAATTATTCTAAATGTCCCCAAAACATATATGAACAGAAGAAGGGCCAATGGAACATTAACAGAAAATACAGAATAAAATCGAATAGCATGTGGAAATTTAGTGTTCAATAAAAGAAGCATCTCAAATGAACGGGAAATAAACTTTTCAATAAATGATAATGGGATAACTGAATAATTATCTGAAAAAAGACAAAAATGAATCTATTCTTCACACCACATACCAGAATAAACTACAAAATAATTTAACATTCTTAAAAAACGAAACCATACAGTACTAGAGGAAAACATGAGGAAATTCTTTTATAAGCTTATAGTGGAAAAAACTTAACTGAAAAACCAGAAATCATAGGGAAAGACTGATAAATCTGATTGTACTACAATAGTTTTTGCATGAAGAAGAACACCAGCAGCAAAATAAAAAACAACAAAGTGAGAAAAAAAATTGTACCATGTATAACAAACTGTTAATATAACTTACAGAGAAAAAATGGTTTAGATGCGAGCAGACACTTCACAGAAACAAACACAAGAAAAACTGTTAAACTTTACTCATAATGAGAGAAATGCAAATTTAAAACTACACTAAGATACCATTTTTCATGTAAGAGATTGGTGAAACTCCACTGTTGGCAGTGCTATGGGGAAATATTCATTCATACATTACTGACAGGGATGCAAAATATTCCTGCCCCTACAGAGAACATTTTGACAATGACAAATATAGAAAAACTACATTTATGCATTTACCATTCAACCCAATAATCTCATTTATAAGTATATATCCCCAAATCTCACCTATAAGAATATATTCCAAAGATAACACTAGCAAAAAAAAAACAAACATACGCATAACATTATCCATAACAGCATTATTTGTAATGACAAAAGAACAAAACATAAATGCCCTCAATAGAATTTTAGTTGAATAAATGACTACATATCTACACAGCCATAGAAGAATAAGGAGTATTTCTATATACTTGTGAAATATACTTATTTCTGAGATATGTTAAGTTAAAAAAGCAAGTTGGAAAAAAAGTATATTGTATAAAGCATGCAATCATTAAACTAAGGGGAATGGATACAATGTGTATGTACACACACACACACACACACACACACCCTTTACTTATACAAAAAGAATAGATTAGAAAATAGCCAAAACTATAACAAAGAAAAAAGAAACCAGGTGAGGGAACAAGAAGCTGGATTCCTAGGAATATACCTTGTGTTACAGATTTGACTCAGAGGTGGAGCTGAGACTATCCTAGAGGTTAAGAATCTTTGGGAACCATTCCTCTAACACACTAACCCCTTAGACACATTCATTTCCAAGGATAATTCAAAATACATTTTCAACATTACCTTTTTCTTTAATTCTTCCTGTTCCTTTTTACTTAAAGTTCGCTTAGCTGTACTCATTTTTCCAATACTGAATGCTTTAAGTTTGTTTTCCAGAAGAGGCTAAGAAATAAAAAGCATACCTTTACATATACATTCTTAATGCTATCTAAAACTTTAATACATATCACCTGATAACTCAGTCTTCAGAATAGACTGCATTTTAAAAAAATTTCATTGTGAAGAAAAGCTGGGGATACTCTACACATCAGGTGCCTATCTTGCTTGACTCTGATGTTAAGTAGTCATCAAAGAAATGTCTTCATTCGATAGCTCAAGGTCAAAAACAGGCAAAAGTCATGTTTATAAAAAGGTAAAAATAGAAGAGACAGACACTAATGCTTAGGACAAGAATAAAGGCATTTGAGGAGGGAAAGCACAGATGTTTCTGGGGAAAAGTTGCAATGATAGAATACAGATCCTCAAGTAGGTAAAGGGAGGCATACATTTCCATGGTCCAGTGGCAGGAATTTACCATCTATAACTCTCATTTCACATACTGTAAATCACTTCTTCTTTATAATTTGGTAAATTACCTCATTCTTCATCAATAATACTGACATTTATGAACATAATTTCATTCTTTGCTGGGATTAAAGTGTCACCTACAATATTTTAAGTTTCAGCTCAAGTAAAACTATATTAACTAATTTTAAATATAAAACAACATTTTAGTGAACTCTTCATTCATGTAACTTAGAAGCAACTTTCTTCTGAAATACAGCCTGAATACATTGTCTGTAGACCTTTTCGTTCAATCAGTTACTCATTTGATTTATAAACTTAAAAGGTAGGAAATGTTTATTAAATAAAACCTAAAATACTGAAATCTGAAGGTTTCTCTCTCTCCTACTAAAATGAGAAGTTAACCAATTACAAAATTAAGACTTTATTAATTCCCTGGTCATTAAATAGGCTTGCCTTTGGGAGATGCAGAATGGAAGAGTAACACTGTTATTATTTTTAAGTTATATTAAAATCCTTTTGAGAAAAATAAAGCAGTTGATAACCCAAAGGTCAATACTGAGTTTCACGAGTGGATTCAAAATAAATTTTCTCAAAACAGAAAATCGTTTTGCCATCATTCAGTGTCTTTGGTTTCAACTTCAAAAGTTTAAACAAGGTGCAAAATTATATATGAATTAAATGAAATACAAGGAAAACTTAACCATGCTCAAATTTTATTTATAACCTAAGAACTAAATTCAGATACCCGAGAGAAGTGGCTAAGTAAACTATGGAGTATTTTTTCAAATAAACAATATAAGCAATCATTATAAATTTTACAGAAATGAAAAATATTATAACTAAAAACAGGATATTTTAAAACGGGTTCTTGTAAAATAAATCTAGGCCAAGTAAAAATATATTTATGCCTAGAAATACTAAACAAGAAAAATAATTTACCAGTGGTTAACACTGGCTGGTGATGACTGTGTTATCATATGTCACAAATTTAACCACAAGAAAAGATTACTTGACATAGAATAAAAGTCTAAAAGAGTCTGAGAGCACTTTGCAGATCTACAAGTAAAGAAGCTCCTTCTCTGTGTTCCTGTATTGCCCTGGGAACTGCACTTATCAGAGTGAATAGCACCTGCTCCTGTTTGCTTCCCAAACTGAGACTATAAGCCTTCTGGGAACAAGAATAGTTTCAGTGACCTGTGCATTTCCAGTAACTGGTATCTGGCACTTGGTTCAGTACATGTTTAAGGGGGGAAAGATAAATTTGACAATTGACCATTTTAAATCCAAACACCACTTTGTTTTTTGAATAAAATTTAAAACTCTAAAATGAAATACATCTCACATTTGAACTAAAACGATTTCCCTAAATAAACTTGAGTTTACTGTAATTTCAAATACAAAAAAAAAAAAAATGCTATTTTCAAATAGAATAAAATGAAACACATACAAAACCATGATATTCAACTACTAAATTAAATCAAGGACAAATTAAATCATTAACTATCCTTTCTTATCTTTACCTTATCTTATCTATACTCACTCTTGAGAGATTCTGGTGAGGAGAATCACAAAGGCTTTCGCGGGCACTTTCATTCCTATAATTATGTTTTCTTGGGCTCTTAGGTCGTGTCCGACTTGGCATATCACTATCTGAGGGTCCAGATGCATCCATCTTCAGGAAAAGTAAAATAAGAGAAAAAACAAACCACACATACATACATATATAGCACTGAAAACCAGAAATAAGCCATGTCAGATATTGACAAATTTCATTGTACATTATCAAAATATCACATCCCTTAATATCACCATTGATTTCATCAGAAAAATTCCTAAGAACAGGGGAAGTTTTCAGTAACTCTAACTCACAAGCTTGAATTTTATGTTGGTAATAGTTGTTTTCCTTGAAGTAACAGGTTCATTACCTTCATTTTCAAGAAAATGTCTGCCAAAATACCCAAGTCTGATTAACCATAGTTTGCCTGTCAGTCATTCCCAAGTAAAAATGGTGTTTCATGAAAAAGGCAGGTAGTTTCATTTCTCAACTCAAACATCACATTTTGGTAAGCTAAGTGTTATACATACTTCTTATTTTATCACACAGAATATTAAGACAAACTATACAAAAGATCAAGACAATAGTAATAATTTTTACTGCTTGATGTAGTAAAACAATAGTAATTTTTATAGCTTCAAGCAGTAAAAATTATTTCTAATTATGCTAGCCTCTTAAGTGAAATTACTCTGCCTGGTGGGGAAGAATATAATGACAAGTATATTCTGGTGTCACTGCGTTGATTTGTGCTCAAGTGCCAAAAGTTTACCCACCAAATGCTTTTGCACCTCCAGCTACATTTGCATTCCTGCAAACACCAAAACAGTGAAAAAGGCATAAATAATGCCTTAGTATTATTACAAAAATTAGTTTTTAATTCACAGACCCTTCTCATAAGATTCTCAGTGACTCCCGGGGTCTTCGGACTATACTTTGAACAATGCTGTAATATCATATATAAAGAAATACTTTTGCAGTATTATCTATCCAAAATGTTATCCAAAAGCTTTAAACAAAAAATATATGCCTATTTGTTAAATCTTAACAACTGCACCTCCCCACCACAGAACATTATGATGCCTTAAAAAAGAATAGCTTAGAGTTTTAACAGTTTACCTACAAGGGATTTCCACCATGTTCTATGCAGTGAGAAAACCGTGTGTATAATGCAACCCCATAGTCAATATATAAGTACACATACTTACATGTGTACAGATTTTTACACAATAAAAATAAGAAAATATACATACTAGCTTTCTAACATGGCTTGAGAGGGCTAACTTACACAAGCAGAACACACAAAAAAGGAAGGTGCCTAGAAAAAACAGTAAAAGAAAAAAAGCACATACAATACAATTGTACTTATTGTCAAGTAAAATCATTGATGTGGGGTTACATATGAGGATAAATTAAATTTTAAGGAAAAAAGAGAAAGATTGCCTTTTATACTCACATGTGCATCTGAAGATCCAGATGAATGAACATCTGATGATCTCGTCTACAAGCATTAAAAACAAAAGTCAGTATTTTCAAAATATCTTATACTAAGAAACTATGTCTCTCATGTTTTACAAACTTAATCTCTCCTAACTTCCAGCAATTTCTCCTCAGCTAATAAAACTGAGCAAAGGCAGTCTCTGACTTACGAAAAGATTGTGATACAAAGTAAATGTGTAAGTAATTTCTTTAAAATTCGGCCTTCATATTTCCAAAAATATGATATAAACGCCAGTGGGATATATATGAGGCACAACTACCTCTTCATAGTATACACTGGAAATCTAACCACCATTTTTACGACAGAAGTTTTATGCAAAAGCTCTTCCTAATCATAGATGCACTGTTTACTGCCACAGCACTACCAGCAACTTCTTGAGCCATAGCATAAGAACTCTCTTCCTTTCTCTAGCCACCCAAAGCCACATGAAGAAATCCACATATAAATCTTTGCTATTAAAGGGTACAAATTTTGCAGAAAGTTCAAGAAAACATTATTGAATCACCAATAAGGCACGATTTACAACTTGTTGTAAGTGGGATGATTCTACAGCATGTCACAGGCTGCCTGGTGGCATGAGAAAGAGTTCATATTATACGTTCCAGCAATGTCAACTGTTAAAATTTCAACTTTTATTAATTGAGCTACATATCAGATTACACATGGTATGCAATAATTTGTTTTCACTATGCATGTAAAGACAAAGACAACAAGCTACAAGGCTATTAATTAAATAATATATGCTATCTGTAATTTTTACTTGGAGAGCCAAAATATAACTGCCACTGAGCTTTATTTTTGAGGGTATAGGGTAGTGAGATTTTACTTGTTTTTATTTATATATTTAAGTGTTAAGTGTTCAAATGAAATCAAGAATTTTGAGATCACAAATATCTCACTTGACCCCAACTCCCAGTTCCAGATATCATATAAAGTATTAGAAAAAATATTAATTTAATAGAAAATTGAAGATTCATATGTTACTTAAAACAGAGCAAATCAGGAAGATTAATATAGATCCATATAGTATTGTTTTATTTACACTGTCCAAACAAAAGGCTAAGAACAGCTGGTAAGATTTTTACACTGAATCAATTTACTCCCCTGAACTCCACTGTATTGAGCAACAGCATAGGCAAAAATCAGCCCAGGACAACCACACACTGGGACACCTCCCATCACATTCTTACTTTTTTTTTTTTTTTTTTTTTGAGACAGAGTCTCACTCTGTCACCGTGGCGAGATCTCAGCTCACTGCAGCCTCCGCCTCCCTGGTTCCATGATTCTCCTTCCTCAGCCTCCTGGGTAGCTGGGATTACAGGAAAGTGCCACCACACCAGGATAATTTTTGTATTTTTAGTAGAGACAGGGTTTCATCAAGATGGCCAGGCTGGTCTCGAACTCCTGACCTCAGGTTGATCTGCCCACCTCAACCTCTGAAAGTGCTAGGATTACAGGTGTGAGTCACCACACCCAGCCCTAACTCATTCTTCCTGTCCATGGTTTTCCTGTCCCCACCTTTTTCATCCACCCTCATTTTCTTCTTGCAGCTAATCTTTCTTAAAAGTCAAGATGGTATGAAAGAAGAAAATGTTTAGTATTTATTAACTATGAAACACACTGAAACATACCTTGAAATGCATCAATTTACAAAGGTCTAGAAATTTAAAAATCCAAAAGAATAAATACTGTTACAAAAGAAAAACAAGTTCAGTCAAGAGGTTGACGGACTGAAAAAAAAAATCGACTGCCTTCTAATATACCAATATTAACTTGCTAGGTAACAAAAACATCCTAATCATAAAAGCAACAAAAAATATAAAACATCTAGAAACCAACTTAAGAAATGTACATAACCCTTGTGAAGAAAACAAAAACTTTAGGAAAAATTCAGCTACTCAAGTCACCTTTTCAAGACTCATTATTACTGGGTGGGAAAATTCAATGTTAAGATAATGTCAATGATACTCAAATTTCTTCACATACTTAATACAATTTCATTCAATAGCTCAAAATTCCAAAGGGAAATACATCAGCTTTCAAAATAACACAATTTGATAAATTTGCAAATGGAGTAATAACAGCACGGTGAAGGACAATGCACCAGCTGATTTCAATTAGCCTAAGATGTCACTAACCACGTTTACTGCAAACCATTTTCCACTGATACACACCTATAGCTACATAGCATTCAGCACAGAACATTTTAAGGCTTAAAAACAGTTCAAACAGTAGTAAACACACTTTTTAAAAGAATAATCACTTTCTAAAGCTAACAGTCAAGGTAAACAGTAAATACCGCACTATTTCAGAAGCTGAGCCTCTCCCTCTCCTTAACCTGGAACTGAACTATACATTTGTCTTGAGTTTGGCTTTTTAACTGAAGAACACAAACCAACGATGCTTAAAGATCTCCTGAAGTCTATGGCACAACTCCTTATCCAAATGAAAGGACCCAAAAGCAGCTGGATGTAGTAGCTCACATCTGTAATCTCAGCTATTCGGGAGGCTGAGATGGGATGACTGCTTGAGGCCAGGAATTCAAGACCAGCCTGGGCAACATAGCAAGAATTCCTATCTCTAGGGAGAAAGGAAAGGAAAAAGGAAAAAGGAGAAGAGAGGAGAGCAAAGGAGGAAAAGAAAAAAGACACAAAAGCAAGAAATGAAAAGGCAGACAAAGGGAAGTTTGAAGCAATAAAGTAGCATACCCAAGAGAAATTTATTTTAGGGCAGAGAAAGCAGACAGTACAAATGTGGGGAGGGACAGCAAGAAAATCCAAAAGGAAGAAAGATCATTGTGATGGCTGCTAAGGGGATGCAAGTGAAGAGAACTACACTACCTGTGGCCCTATAGCTTGCTGGCTGAGAACAAAACTAATTTTCTTCTGCCTGCTCCAACTTTACTTCAAGTGAAAGCCCCATATCTAAGTTTCCAAATTAGCAAGCTATCCACTGCAACATTCCTCCAACACCACCATTTCCACATAGTAAGCTCTCCATTCCCGTATCTGTCTCCTAATCTCCCACAGGTTTCTTCTCTCGCCGTCTAAGAGCAGCAACTTTCATCTCCACAAGTTTAGCAATCTCTCCCACAGGAAGCATACTGTATTGTCCCTCAACTAGACAGCATGCTCCTCAAAAATGAGTACATTCTGATTTAACATTTTCTAATTCAACATCAAGCAAAAAGATCTGGCAAGTGACACAGTCTCAATATACTTGACTTGTCAGAACAAGTGTCTACCACCAAACAAAATTACACTCCACACTGTCAACATACTACACTATCCATTAACAACAGCTACCTAGCTTAATACCACTATCCAAGTCAAATCAAGGTATCCATCTTCCAAAAAAAAATAAATAAATAAAACTTTACAAAATCATTAATATAAGCACTATGTAAATAAAGTTAAATAACAAACCGAAGATGATTTTTTAAATTATTCAAAACACTACAAATACTACATGAAAAGTTGTTAAGTACACTTTGAACAACCTATAGTTTATCTAAACTGAGAAAGGGCCTTGTGAAAAAATTTAAAATCAGGGAATAGATGTCTAACACTATGATTAGCCTCAAGTGCTACTGACAAACATATCTTGCTTTCAAAAATGTTATTTCAACAAAATATCCAGCACACGGCAGATGTACAATAAAATGTTAAAACTACCTATACTAGAATAAGAGGCAAATAGACTGTAATATTACTGTTTTTGATTTAATATCTTGTAGCAAGTTTTTCTTTTTATTCCAAAAATGATGCTCCTTGTAAAAAAATGGTGGGGGGGTAGAGGGGTAGATGTCTTCAACTTGCATATTAAATGAGCTTTTCTTTCAATGATATCCAGTAAGGCAAATGGGTATCTTTCTTAGGTTTACTTCCTAAGGAAAACAAAGCTTCGGAAATAAAAACCAAAAAGTGAAAATAAAAACTGGACTTTCAGGGCTGGGCGTGGTGACTCACACCTGTAATCCCAGCACTCTGGGAAGCCAAGGTGGGCAGATCACCAGGTCAGGAGATCGAGACCATTCTGGCTAACAAGGTGAAACCCCTTCTCTCCTACAAATACAAAAAATTAGCCAGGCATGGCAGCACACACCTGTAGTCCCAGCTACTTAGGAGGCTGAGGCAGGAGAATAGCTTGAACCTGGGTGATGGAGATTGCAGTGAGTTAAGATTGCACCAGGGCACTCCAGCCTGGTGACAGAGCGAGACTCCATCTCAAAAACAAAAACTGGACTTTCAGAAAACACCATCTCAAAAAAAAAAAAAAAACCAAAACCTAGACTTTCAGAAAACAATCAATTCAACCCAGAAAAATATAAATTATTTTTAAAACCATATCAACAGGCATATTCCAGCATCAGTACTGCAGGCTCAAGTTTCGAAAAAGTATCAATCGAGAAAATGGAAGATCAGTTCAGTTCTACCTTCCAGACCAAAACAAAACCTTCTACCAAAAAAACCTACCTTACATTTTAAGATAAGGTTACAACCATACCATAGTAAAGATTTGGTTTAAACTAAAACTGGCAAATACTGAAAAGCCTAATTTTCAAGGTTTGTTATTTTGTGTGGACCTTTTCATAAACTTTCAGGTACCACAAAAGATGAAAATTGGCAGTAATAAATACCTAAGGTTCACAAGCCTTGAATAGATCCTCATTTTACTTATTTCTTAGAATTGATACTTTTTGCTAATCAGCAAAGGCAGTCAATCAAAACAGTTCCCAAAGCAATTTAGCACTGGATGTCCGAGGAAGCCAGTGGTATTTTCTGTTTTATCCATTCACCTCTCTAACTCAATTTTTGGCGATATGGCAAAAAAGAAAAAAAAAAAAAAAAGCCATAGTCACAGAGAGAAACAGTAGGGCACACAATTCCATTATATTAGAAGTATTACCAGCACAGAAGATTGCATAAGAAAATATGAAATTTTCTTCATAACCTAATTTTGCTGAGCAAGCATACAACTGATGGTCAAAAATAATTTTTTATAAATTAAATTCTAAGGAAATATGTTTAACAATTTTACAAGCAAACAAAGGCTCACTCTCTCTCCTCTCAAAATCAAAGCTACAGCATAACATCAACACTCCTCCCCAACTAAGCAATATTTTAGAATAGTGATAAACAAATGCATAGGAAAATTTTAGCTCATTTCTAAAACATTTATTGAATGTCTACATCTGCTGGGCTCTAAAATGCAATGTACAGCAAAATCACACAGGAAATTAAAGGGCATAAGGGTCTCTTCAGAAAATTATGAATAAAGTCAGTCATTCAAATATACATACATAAAATATCATTTTAAAAATAGAGGCCAGGTGCAGTGGCTCAAGCCTGTAATCAATCCCAGCACTTTGGGAGGCCAAGGCGGGTGGATCACGAGTCAGGAGTTCGAGACCCGCCTGGCCAACATTGTGAAACTCCGTCTCTCTAAAAATACAAAAATTAGCCAGGCACCTGTAGTCCCAGCTACTAGGGAGGCTGAGGCAGAAGAATCACTTGAATCCAGGAGACAGAGGTTGCAGCGCCACTGCACTCCAGCCTGGGCAATAGGGTAAGATTCCGTTTCAAAAAACAAAAACAACAAACAACAGAAAACAAAAACTAGGAGAGTTGTAGACATTATCTAATTTAATCTTTTTATAATTAAGAAATGTTAATAATTTTGCCATATTGTACATTTCAAAATTAACATTTTCCCAATGTCTAGAAATAAGCATCCCTATCCATACTAATGGTAATTTAACTACCAAAGAAAACGACGAATCATGAAACAGAAGTATCTGTTCACTCCATCTGTACTGTAAAATACAAGCCACTCATTTGTTCTCTCCAGAGGAAGGGAAATCAAACCAGAGATCAAAGCCTAGAAATTTCAAATACTGTAGTATTAGCCAAAATGTCCTTACACTTTCTCTAATAAACTCTGTATTAGAAGTAAAAAGCAGCTATCTGAGCAGTCATTATGACAGATCCCAAATCACAGGATTAAGATTTATCCTGACATTTTGAAAGCAAAGAGCTTTTTATTTCTTCTAAGAACAAAAAAGGAGAGGGGAAAGAAACTAAGATCTATTATCTATTTATAGACATTAGTTCATTTAATCCTTATATCAACCTTGTAAAAAAAATTATATCCATATTAAAAATGACGAAATTGAGGCTCCACAGTTTAAGCATCTGCCTTAATATTATCGCAAATATAATTAATTACCAAGTCAGGATTTGAACCCAAATCTTTTTTGTTAACAAAATTCATGATCTTCCCACTACATTATGCAGCCTCCTATTAGTTAAGATATCCTAATTCCTTTTACAGATATCAGTAAGAAATCTGTTAATAGCATCAACAAATTATAATCTAAGGCAGTATAAACAGAAAAGATTACTAGATAACCCAAGAATTTATTTATAGAGAACAGCCATACATTCACAATCACGAGAAGTACTATTTTAGAAGGAAGCCTGAAACGTTTTCAGACATTGAAACGTTTTCAATGTATCCAAGACCTCAAGTAGGGGATACTTAAAATATTACTTTGAGAAGAAACAAAAATTGTGAGGCTTATACATGACTTGTTATGAATGTAGCTGGCTTTAATAATAGCTCCCTAACAGTAAGTGGGTCTGTTCTTGTCATGAGTCTATTAAGAAGAGTTGGTAGAGCGAGTTACCTCACTATTCCCTTCTCCCCAAAAGAAAGGGAGAAGAGGAAACGTAGTGGGGAGGGAAATAACAGACACAGAGTAAACAGTACCTTGTAAAGCAGCCAAAACTGGCCCCTTACCAAGTTTTTATCTAACTAAAGTATATCTAGTAAGACCATTACTAATTATGAACTAATTATTTTGGTGTACATCATTCACTAATTGGCATAAACAGCCTGATTATTAGAAACTGAGAAAGCAAGTAGAAAACAGAAAACGAGTTATGTTTCTCAGAACTGTAAACGCAAGGGTCTCTCCTACCGTAAACGTAACTTTCTAATAACCGATTTATAATCACACACACTCTTTAAGATATAACAGTCCTTAAAACCTTTAAGTGTTATACACCGTCTTGCATCAGCATCGGGAAGTTCAACTACCTCGTGGCAGTACCCACTACTTTTAATAAGTTCAAGACGAGAAATCCAAAGCAAAAAACGATTAAATGTCCTGCCCAACATGGCAACTAAGAACCCAACCTTACTAATGCTAAACTACCACAGGTCACTGGTTTCACAATACGCGCACAAGGTTCCCTGTAAACACAAATGCAATTTACTAATCGTACGTAGCTTACAAGTCTACCGGGCTTCTCTCTTCAGTGGAACACACAACATGAAGAGTCCACGAATCCTCTACCAACAAGTGCTTTTTACTTCCCCTTAAGGTAAAGACCACGTGTAGAGCGTACATTAACCTTGGCTATGCAGCCCTGCAAAGGAGAGGTGCTCCCGCCTCGACATTTCCCACCCCGCGTCTCTGCCCTAGTGCTCTTCCCCTCACAGCTCGACCCTAGAGGTTATTTATTCCTTGAAGGGAAACTGAGGGAGGCCGGAAGTGACTGAGATCCAAAACCCAGAAAAAAGCAGCACTTAGGCACCGGGAATCCATTCCCGCCTCTATCCCGGGCGCTGTCTGGCGGCCTCGGAGCGCAGAAAGCTGAGATACAGGGGAGCGTTTTCACGGCTTCGGACCTCAATCTGAATTCGCTCCAATGCCAAGCGCGGGCCGAAGTACTCACGCCACCACCGCCTGGGCACGCCAGTCTCGAGCTGAATCCAGGCTGGGACTAAGGGGAGATACCAGGCCTCTCAGCCTGCGCACCACAGTGCGGCGGCGCCCGGGCCTACCGTCGCGACCAGAACACAGAACCCAATCCCAGTCGCCTCTCGCAGACCAGAAGCGTCTGTAGGCCCCAGACGACAGAGGTAGATCCGTTGACTTACGAAATCCTGTCAGAAATTACCTTTGAACTGGCCTTCTGAGAGCCGCCTGGCGTTTTGTCCGCCATCTTGAGCTTTGCCCCTCCTTCGGCGGCGGTAGCAGCACGGGCGAGTCGAGCACCGAAAGAGCGGATCTCAGCGAAGCCCGCCAGAGGCGCCTGCAAGGCTGAATAGTCGACTGCCGATATAGTGAGTTCAGGGGAAGCCGCTCACGTGACTTCCGCTGTCAGTAATCTCCTCAGCTGCGCTCAATCGGCTGGTTTTCCTGGGAGTCTCGGCGCTGGGTCACGTTATTGGATCCGGGAATTCAGAGAAAGAATCTCCTTGTTCAGGGCCAGCTGATATTTCACTCTTATCCCAGCGCCAACCCTTGATAGAAGTGAACCAGTCGTATTTCCTGTGCGGGAAGGGAGCCGCTTTTTAAAGAACTGCCCTGGCCGTCTAGGGAGGAGCTTTTACTTCCATTCAAGATAGGCCTGGAGCTGACTGGTGGTCTGGCGCTCGATCGACGGAAACGCTGTTCTCGCCACTTCGGCAGCTCCCACCCTGGTGGGAGAGGCAAATCTGCAGTCTGGTCATTTTAAGATGGTGAATGTTGAGATAGAGTTGTGCCCGAAAAGCCGAGAAGAGGAGCGTTTGACCCAAGCTGAGGGTGATCCGATAGACACTGTTTAGGGCGTCTGCAGAGTTAGGGGCGTATGGAGACAGAGAACGCTGTAAATACAGACGTTATTCTAAATGTAGCATGCATGTAAAGTTGTGAGACATTTTAAAAATTACATTTTACGCTTTAGTGTTGTTTTCATTTTTCATCACGTAAATGGAAGAGCACCATATAAACTTTTCTGGATTTAGTACTTTTTTAAAAGTTCTTAATCAGGGCCTGGATTCAAAGAAGGAAAGCTTGCCCTGAATCGGGCCAGGCAAGGAAAATAGAAAGGACATTCCAGACAGAGTAGCTGACGCAAAAGCCTTGTGGCATGAATCAGTACAGCAGGCCGTGCAGGCCACCACAAGCAGTGAAGTTTTTTTAGAGGATGTGTAGGGACGGACGTGGTTGGACGGGGTGTGGGTGCAGGTTCACACAGCGCCCTGAGGTCATCATCGTACTTAGGAGTTAGAATTATGTTCTCAGAATGAAGATCGGCCTTCAATAAGGTTGAAATGGTCAGATTTTTTTTTTTTTTTTTTTTTTAAACGGGAGTTTCGCTCTTGTTACCCAGGCTGGAGTGCAATGGCGCGATCTCGGCTCACCGCAACCTCCGCCTCCTGGGTTCAGGCAATTCTCCTGCCTCAGCCTCCTGAGTAGCTGGGATTACAGGCACGCGCCACCATGCCCAGCTAATTTTTTTGTATTTTTAGTAGAGATGGGGTTTCACCATGTTGACCAGGATGGTCTCGATCTCTTGACCTCGTGATCCACCCGCCTCGGCCTCCCAAAGTGCTGGGATTACAGGCTTGAGCCAGAAATGGTCAGATTTTTAAAGTATTGCTCTGAGGATTAGGGTGGGAGTGGAGGGCGTTCATGGACCTCTCCCTAATTCATTTATTCAAAATACATTTGAGCCCTGTTTTGTGTATAAAAGCCTGTCCAACGTGTTGTAGGGCTTACAGAGACACATAAAAATGCACTGTCTTCACATGATTTAAAACTTAATGAGGAATGGAGGAGACAAGGAAACCGCAAACACTATGCATAATTAAATTGATGCTGCAAGGAAGGATCAACAGCTGAGGGAACGCTGAAAGAAGTAACTAATTCTGAGAGCAGGAGTGAGGAAAAAAGACAGGGGAGGTTTCATAAAGAAGAAAGCATTTGAGGCAGCTCTAAAGAGGTAGAATTTTGTTAAATGGCGGGGCTGGGGAGCGAGAGAAGCACTTAGAACAGGATCTGACACAAGGCTGGCCCTCAGGAAAGATTAACAGACATCTGTGCCAGTCACTAAGCAATCAGCAGGCCAGGCCTCCTGTGTGAGAGGCTGAGGGTAGAAGAACAGACAGTAAACAAGAAATGATCGGAAAGTGACAAGTGCTGTACATGAAATTAAAATACAATGACTTGCACCCTCCAATCCAATTGAATTTACTTCCAGTGCTGAAATCTGTCATATTTTTTCAGTTCTGGGCCTCTTCCCTCAACCTTGCCCTGACCTGTCATTGAAGTCTAACCAAATTCTCTTAGACTTCTTTCACTTCCTCCAGGAAGGCTTACAGTCTTCCCTCTCCACCAATCCTAAATCAGAGACCCTGCTTCTGTTTACAAGGAACCTATACTTCCCACTCTGAAGAACGCAGCACACTAGATCTTAACTGTTTACAGTATAGGATTAGAAAGTGAAATCATCAGCTGAGATGAAAAGAAGTGTGACTGGGTATGCCTTGTGGTGTTCTCACAATGCCACAGGCTGATTTTGTCACTAAAAAGTGAATATATGCAGCTTTTCAGTCAAATCCCCAAAGTCCTAAGAATTTTTACTAAATATTCCTAAAGAGTTAAAAACAAAGGAATGCAGACTTCTTTCCTCTCTTATTTATTTATTTATTTATTTGAGATGGAGTTTTGCTCTTGTTCCCCAGGGCTGGAGTGCAATGGCACAGTCTCAGCTCACTGCAATTTCCACCTCCCAGGTTCAAGTGATTCTCCTGCCTCAGCCTCCCAAGTAGCTGGAATTACAAGCATGCGCCACTACCCAGCTGATTTTTATATTTTTAGTCGAGAGAAATTTCTCCATGTTGGTCAGGCTGGTTTTGAACTCCCAACCTCAGGTGATCCGCCTATCTCAGCTTCCCAAAGTGCTGGGATTACAGGCGTGAGCCACCACACCCAGCCTCTCCTTTTTTTATACTGTTAGCCCCAAAGCAAGTCAGACAAAGGTGATCTGACTAGAAATAATACATAGGCCTTTATTAAAGGTTAAGTACACTTTTAAAAATTCAAAATCATGGCCGGGCACGGTGGCTCAGGCCTCTAATCCTAGCACTTTAGGCCAAAGTGGGCAGATCAAGGCAGGCAGATGGCTTGAGCCCATGAGTTCAAGACCAGCCTGAGCAACATGGCAAAACCTCATCTCTACAAAAAAATATTTAAAAATCAGTCAAATGTGGTGGCACACATCTGTAGTCCCAGATAGGAGGCTGAGGTGGGAGGACCACCTGAGCACTAGGAATCTTGCCATTGCACTCCAGTCTGGGCAACAGAGTAAGACCCTATCTCAGGAAAAAAAAAATTCAAAATCACAATTATGAGCAAGAGTTCTCGATACATGAAATCCTGGCCCTATTAAGTCATGAAATTCTGGCCCTATTGCTCAAATTACAAATTCAGGAAGTTGAAATAGCACAAAAATAATCCTAATGGAATTTTATGGAATCTGAATAATTAGATTAACAATTGTAAGTGCTAAGGGACTACACATAAATAGCAAGAATCATACAATTTACTGCAACTAGTATTACCTTTTTACAGTTACACTAAAACCATGCCATTTTTCTCTTCCTGATGTGTTGATTTTCTGGTGCCCACACCTGCCATTTGCTTTTAAGGCTTCTCCCTGTAGCAGATATGTTCAAGAGAAATTACAAAATTGTGCCATATACAATACTGAGATGTTTTGTTTGGTTCATTCAGGGAGATTTTTTTCTTTGAAATTTGAGCTAGCATTTTAAAACAGAGAGATTTTACATAAAACTCAGGGTTTCTAGCCTTTCTTAAAAAATGGGGAATAGAAAATTAGCTGGGCATGGTGGCACATGCCTGTAATCTCAGCTACTAGGGAGGCTGAGGCTGAAGAATTGCTTGAACCCAGGAGGCAGAGGTTGCCGTGAGCCAAGATTGTGCCATTGCACTCCAGCCCAGGCAACAAAAGCAAAACTCCTTCATAAAATAAAATAAAATAAAAATGGGGAAGTCTGGCAACACTGGGTGACAATCCAGGTGAGGTGGCCTACAGCGACCTATTGGGAAAAGGGCTGTGCACACCAATTTAGCCGCCCCTTCATCACATATGGTGGTCAAATTCCCCATACCTAGCCTGCTTGTAGGCATTTCAGTTTTCTACTTCTGATGTACAGTGTAATTCTAATTCTGATGTACTCCTGGGGTGATGATCAAAACATTACCAACCAGTTCCCCCAGGCACTAAGCAGAACTGACTTCTTATTAGTAAGGTACGGGAGACTCAGTGCCTAGGACTCACAATACTTTTTAGACTTCCCCCCCCCCCCCCAAAAAAAAATGTTTTGATTTGTTCAAGGAGGAAAAAAGTGGAGTGGAGAGAGTATATAACAATACGAACCACTGTGGAACCTGTGCATCCTGAAAGATAGAGACCTTAAAATTGATTGCCCCAAAGCTCCAACCTCCTGTATTATGCCAATGGACTGCTCCTACCCAAGTAGGCATTTTCATTCTAGAGAGTTTTTAAGCAGCTTTTCCCTGCTCTCTAGGCTTCAGGATATAGGTTCGTAAAAGTATAACCCACTCCATTTGTTCCTTTGGCATTTATTGAGTTTCTAGCATGTGTAGGCTCTGAAGAAAGAAGATAAAAGGAGAGACAGCTAAAAATCAGAGTGAGTGTCTTCTAAGAGAGATCCTATAGGGCTGCTTCTAGGAATAATTAAGAAACAGCCTTCACGGAGGTGTGGTCAGTGTGGACTGGAAACTTCCTTCTGATGAACTTGACTGCATGCCCCACACCCACCCCACAACACAAGTCTTACAAATAAGGTTTCAGTAGCAACAGCAACTCCTCCCTTTTCTCATCAAAAACAAAACAAAACAATTACCTGACTTACTTATTGGTCATATACAGAATTCCTTTGACAATATAATTGCAGTGGCATTTTTGTAAAATGTCAAAAAGCACATAGCCCAAGAATATGCTGGCACCATGTTGAAGATAATAGAAATTGCTATTTTAACTACGATCCTAGTGAGACAAAAACCTTAACTGTATAGGAATTATTTTATCAACAAGGTTAATAAAATCTAGGAGGGTCCAGTTGGAGTACTGTGGAAATGGAAATGGAAATGAGTGTTCCCGTGTGTGTGTGTGTGTGTGTGTGTGTGTGTGTGTGTGTGTGTGTGTGTGAGAGAGAGAGAGAGAGAGAGAGAGAGAGAGAGAGAAAGAGAGAGAGAGAGAGAAAGATAAAGGAGGACTCAAGGTGCCCGTGGCAGGTCATGAGAATCAGCACACGGCAAATCTGGGGAGCTCTCACTTGCTCTTGCCATGACCCAGCAACCCAAAGGGGGGCTTGGCTTGGACCACCAAAGATAAGCCCTCACTTAACTTGTGACCTGGCTTTTTCCAGTGGGAAGCCTATATATCCCCATATTGATTGACACTCATGAGACAAGGTCAGGTAATATAAAAGGCTGAGTGGAGCATGAAGTTATGAAGAGAAAATGAAAGACAACTTTCCCTTATCAATTTCATCTGTTAATAACAAAAGTTGTGAGTAACAGTGGTCTTAAAACACATAAGGCTTTATTTTGACATTGCTATAATGGTAAGATTCTATCAAAGCAATATGGCATACCTTTCTTCTTTTTCAAGTTTTGTTCCATTTCCTTCACATTAAGTTTGCATATTTCCTGTTACTTTGTTAGGTATTTTGTCTTTTCTGTTATTACTATGAATAGAGTAAGTTTTTGTATTATTTATGTATGCCCTAAATAAGCTGTTTATTGATGGCTATGTATTAATGTTGTATAATGTGTTTAATGAACTTTTATTATTTGCATAGTTTTTCAGTTTATTCCCTTGAACTTTCACTTATGCACTCATATTTGCAAATAATTACCATTTGACTCCTCCTGTCCTATTTTATA